ACTTCCTGGCACAGCGGCTTAGAGGAGATAGACAGAGGAGACTGCTTGCTGCCTTTGCTGTTGATGGAGATTGGAACAGCCCCAAAAGAACTCATCGACCCTAAAGAGCCAGGAGAAGTAAAGGGTCTGCACCCCCTCTCCCCACTAACCTTCACTCTCCCACTGAGGGTTAAAGTAGGGTAGAAGCTTAAATACCCCAAATAAAATAGTTTAAAAAACGAGCACCACAAATTTGTATCTTTTAGATATTTGTCCTCTACTGATTTCAACTGTTGCAAATATCCCCACCACCACACACACACACACACACTGTAGCATTTCACTGTATGGTTTGTTTTTGTGAACACAATCGCTCTTTTTTAAAGATCTGTGTATGAATGGTTTGCCTCACATGTGTATGTGCACTTTGTACATGTGAGTCAGAAGGTATCAGAACCCCTGGAACTGGAGTTATTGATGGTTGTCGGCCACCATGTTGGTGCATCCTTATTTTATTTCTGTTCTCAAAGGAAAGGTCTCAGGCTTTCACCTAGGACATAAAACAGGCTGCAGATACTTTTTTAGAGCTGTTTCTAACATGGACTCTATTGCCTGCTTTTGCATCACTTCCCCCTGGCAGGGCTGCTTTGCCTCTCCTTCGGAGATGAGGATATGCTCAGTGCTGATGTGACTTGATGTAGTGAGGTGGGTTGATACAGGAGGAAGGGCCTTTCCTTTCCTGGAGAGAAAAGGAGAAGGGAGGGAGAGGAGGAATGGAAGAAGAGGAAGGGGCCACCCTTGGGATGTAAAGTAAGTAAACTGAAGTAAAATAAAATAAAAACATATTACTGGTTCCAGTTTAATATTTTGCTTATATTAGCTTTATAATTGGGAAATGTTTTGCTTCTCTATTCTGTGATAGAGTCTGCAAAAGATTAAAACTTTTTAATTCTTTGTGTATGTACACAGCATGTGTGACAGTCTGTTATAAATTGCCAATGTTTATCAAGCTTATTTGTCACAGAAGCTATTACAATTTGAAGCATTCTTTGAGCTCTCCACTTCTAGTCCTTTTTTCATAATCCTTGGAGAACTGTTCAGGTTTCCTATCAGTGCTGATAATTTCCTAAGGATCTGCCTATTTTCCCCAAATCTTCAAATGCATTAGGATAAAGTTATCCATGTTTTCTTACTTGCTGCCTATACTTATGTCCTTCTTTGTTTCTATTAGTTGTATTCCCCCTCCCCTTTTTTTGTCTCCTAGCCCAAAAGTAGTGTCTCAAAGCCCAAGGCTAAAGCACCACCTCTGGGGCACCCTTTCAGATCAGATGATTCTGCACACGACTAGTTTGCCCAAAGCTTGAGCTGCTTGGGGCCAAATGGTTTTCAGAAGGAATTTAGGCTGGGTGTTGTCTTTTACCTACAGCATTTACTCTGGGATGACTAAGTGCCTGGGTTAATGAAAATGAGGATCCACGGATACTAATTACCAAATCAAGTCTACACAGCTGATAAGTAGTAGTGCCCAAATTCTAAAACTGAAGGTTCCTTCTGTTGGGGGGGGGCAGCTTTTTTGTGTGTTGTACTTTGTTTTTTGAGATAACGTCTTTCAAGATAGCCTTTCACTGAAAATCCCACCCTCTTACCTGCTTCACCCTCCAGAAGGCTGAGATTCTAGGTGTTAGCCACTATGCCCAGTTGCATTATGGATGTTTCAACAGCCATCTCTGATTAACAGGTTGAATCAACCTATAAAGACCTAATTCACTTTTGAATGAGGGTAACTGAGGATAAGCTCTGAAGCAGTGCCTCTGGGTTTCATTTCAATCCTCTCTGCAACTGGCTACAGCCTCCTAACACTTAAGTAAGACTGCCACTTATCGGTGGCATCATCACATTACAATATGAAGCCAGTTTTAAATTTTTAATGCTAATGTAAAAAAACAAAATACTCAGTGCAGGGAATATACTTGCATGAAAACATCAGTGAGTCCAATGAACATATCCAATTATTTACAAATGAAAAATGTAACCAGAGCTGGGCATGATGGCACACACCTGTAACCCCAGTACTCAGGGAGACAGAGACAGATGTATCTCTGAGAATGAGGCCAACCTGGTCTACAAAGCAAGGCTACACAGAGAAACAAACAAACAAAACAATAAAGAGAGAGAGAGAAAAGAAAGAAAAGAAAAGAGAAGAGAAAAGAAAAGAAAAGAAAAGAAAAGAAAAGAAAAGAAAAAAAAAAGAAAAAAATAGAACCAGAAGCTGAGTGTGGTGACACCCGCCTGGAACTCCAACACTCAGCATGCTGGGGCAGCAGGATTACTGAAAGCTTGAGGCCAGCCTGGTCCACAGTATGCTTCATGCCAGCCAGGGTTAAATAAGACCTTGTCTCGAAATGCCAAAAAATAAAAATAAACCTTTATCATAAAAGCAGTGGTGAAGATATTAGCTGACCATCCATAGCTAAGTACTACTGCATAGTACACCATGGCCATTATCTCATTCAGTCATTAAAACAATCCTATGAAGATTTTGTCATTCTTCTTTCTGTCATATATTTACTATTATCAGTGTGTGAAATGTGTGTAGAAATCAGAGGACAACTTTCAGAGTCCATTCTCTTCCTCTACTGTGAATTCCGAGCAAGCACTTCTATCAGTTGAGTAATTCTCCTGGCCTTAAATTAGTGTCTCAGTGACACTGCTTCCAGATAAACTTCTAGGAGAAACGCTTTAAAAGAAACCATGCGGTCCATCGGCCACATCCACTGTTGTCTGATTTTAAACTCCCAGTGTAAAATTTTACATTTAAGTGGTTCAGAAACTCCAGAGAATACGTCACAAAATGCTTGAGGTTCCACTTCATTGTTCATATTTTATCCTACTTCATATATAGAATTAGATTAGAGCAGAGTGCTTTCTTTTACCTATTGCTGTCAAGCCATAGTAGACAAGTGTACGAAACAGAAATTGTAGTTCTCAGCGCCTAATATATTAAACGGATTTACACTAAGTTTACCACCAAATGGAGAAGACAAGAAAGCAGTAAAAACGGGAGGGAGGTGTAGTACAAAAATATCTTTGCCAGTTTCTTAACCCACGTAGATTCTGGCCCAAGCAAACCATAAACCTTAAGCTTCAATTTTTCATGAGTCTTAAGAACACCGAGAAGGGTAAAACCCCTATAGATATAGGTAGAGTAGGAAGCACCCACATCTTCTCCATACAGATGCCTTAACCAATGTACCACACCTCCTCCATATGTTCAAAAAGATGTCATTCAATCTACAAATGTTTCATATTCAGGCTAGTGTCACAAGAATGTTTATATTTACAAGTATGTACTTCAGAATTGAAAGCTGGAGTTGCTCTATTTACTTGGATGATTTACAGTATGACAGACTAGAGGACAGAGAATGAAGCTCAGTGCTTTGTATATGAAACTAAATACCTACTTTCTAACCTAATTCTTCCACTTACTAGTTCTATAACCTTGGTTAAGGCAACATCCCTGAACCTCTACGCTTTCACCTGTAATGAATGAAGATGGGTTGAATTGTGGGTAACTTTGTATGTGATTAGAACAGCACTACCAACATATTATACTTGTCTTTACAAAAGGATATAAACTAGACAAGGTGTTCTGAGTAAGCTATGTTGGAAGCAAGACTCTTCTGAGGGTGATGTAACAGCTAAGTGACCAAGATACAATCTTAGCAAACATACCAGAAAAAAAAATGTTGAGACTGAAGAACAGCTACTCAACATAAGTTTCTACTTGGGAAAAGCCTGTATCCATTTGTAAAGGCAAAGTATGTGCACTTCTCATAGAGTTGTACCATAACCATTTTAATTTGAACTCTGCCAGCTCCAGGGCTAACGGAATAAATCCTTCTGCTGAAACCAGGGAGAAATTTTAACTGCTTACCTAGGAAACCAAACATATTACATTTATGGGTGAGTTTTAATTTTGAGCTTACATCACAATCACATGAAAGGCTTGTTCATGCTATTTCAAGAGTTTTTGGTTCAGTTGAGGTATGACAAACTTTGCATTTCTAATAGAGAAGTCCCCAAGAGAAGTTATGTTGCAGGTCCAGTGACTACATTTTAAAAATCATTATCCTACATTAAGAGAATGACAGGCAGGCAGCCTTTAATGCAAAGTTATCCTCTTAAGACCTTGGATGAAGAGGATGAGCTAGAAGATGAAAAGGATGAATTAAAGTGAAAACAGAAATCAGTTCTCTAAAAACTTTTTTTGCTCATGTAAAAATTAGCTAAGAAAGAAATGGAGTTAATGAAAGACCTATCCCTCACAGTCATTCAAACCAAGGAGTCAATTTAACTTTTACCATCTTAAGTAGAATATAGTCACATGGCCTCACAGACATGTATGGCACTGTGTGGTACATGGCTGGCCAGTTACATCTCAGCCACATATCTCAAAAGAAAACAAGAATGTTCGGTAAACATTTAGCAGTTTCTCCCACCAAACATTTTTCCATTGCAAGCTTCCAGATTTAAGAGCTAAAATCAGTTTTAAAGGAATAATGTAGGGTCTGGAGAGTGGCCCAGTGGCTGAGTATGTACTGCTCTTGCAGAGCACCAGTTTGGTTCTCAGCACCCCTAGAAATGGCTCACAACCACCTTAACTCTAGGGAATCCAACACCCTCCTTTAGCCTCTGCAAGCACTGCAGACACACACACACAGGGAGAGAGAGGGAAACAGTGGGGGGGGGAGAGAGAGAGATAATTAGAAACAAAATAGTTAGTACATAGATATATTAATGACTAAAAGAATGAATAAACTTAGTGACCAAAGATTTACCTGCCTCGGGCAAAGAGTGGGCCCTAACAAATATTCTATGATGGGGAGGAGGGGAGCTTTCATTAGGAAAATAAAGTTCCTATATTGTTTTGGAATAAGTCAAAATATTTTATAATTTCCCATGCACATCTCGATGCCCTTTAGTAGTCTTAAAAACAAATAACTTTCTTCTAAGAATGACAGTTCACGATCACTTTGAGTTTTTATTACAATTCCAAAAATAGGACTATCCCATACAATAGCAAACATTCTGCGTTATTACTCAAATATACTTGCTTGCCTATGTTTAATGTTAAATTACCACCCACACCATTTCAATTGAAAAAAAAAGTCTCTTTATCTTTAGTATACCTCTTAAGACTATCCAAGAGAAAATAAACTAATATATGATGCTTCTTACTAAAAGGAAAAAAAAAAATACTCTTCATGGTCTTTCATTCATTTCATCAATTAGGACACATAAGGCAGCATCTTTTTCTATAATCTGGTCCTTTCTGTGACCTGAATTTTCTCTTTGTTGTTCATTCTGTCCAGGACAGTTACTGTTATCATCAGTATCCATTGGCTCAGCTTTAACTCTCATCCCCGCTTCTGAATGGGGCAAATCATCAGGTAAAGAAGCCAAGCAATTTTGAATCATTTCAATTACTCGTTCCAGGTGTTTCTGAAACCTCTCAGCTGTTTCAAGACGTTGACGTTTCTGGACCTCCATCATGACTCTCAAAGTCTCTCGTGCTTGGTGGGGTCGATATTCATTTATAAGATGATGCACATGTACGAACAGCAGCTTAAGATCTTCTAGCTTTTCTTCTCGTTTTATACTCCCAGGGCTCCTTATTAAAATATCTAAAAGGTCCAAGAAATTAACCAGTATAGACATATTGAGTTTTCTCAGTTCTTTCTTGTGATCAAATTGCATAGGATGAAGCCGTTCAATGCCCTGACTTTCCAAAGGGCGAATGATGAGATCATCACATTGGAACTGGTTGCCGAACATCATGTAACTGTCTTTAATTGGAGGGGGAGGCTTGGGAGCTAAGCCTTCCTGAATATTTTCATCTGTATATTCCTTGATGTACTGCATTGGAGGTGGTGGAAGTGCACTCACTTGCTGGGGTTCACCCATTGTGGACAATCAAGAACCTAAAGAAACAGAACACAGATTTAGAGCAGATTTATAACCCCCCATTAGTGACTTCAGCGCTATGTTCTTCCTTCTTCTTACAGTATAGGGTCCAAGCCAAGACAATCTTAGACTGTAAAGTTAACATTTACAATAGGGAATAGTTACTAATTCTTTTCTAATTAAATATTATATTGTTAACACCCATAAAAGACCTCCAGCACCTGTTTATTTCTCAAACATAGACCTGGGAAAAGTATACTGAAAAATAAAAGAGGAGGGACAGCATGGAAGCAGAGGCTCTAGTGGCATCTGTCACTGTGTCAAGAAGCTTCACTGACGAGGAAAAAAAATTACAGGTCAGTCTGGTCAACACCAACTATGATGTTCATAAGTTCACTGAGACCACATAATCTGCAAGCTTCCTAATGGGAGATATGCCTTGAAAATTGAGAACTTGTCAGCCAGTCAAGACAACAGGTGTTCTAATTTCACCCTAGAGGGGCAGGAAGAAGCATCTTCATGAAGGACAAAAAAAAGAAACAAAAAACAAAACAGTTAAGCTCATGGGACAGAGCAGGGAAGGTGCAGAAAGACATACACCAAAGACTGTCTTCCAAAAAGGTCTGCCCTCTGTCCACTTGGTGATAGCAACAGTTATGATTACACAGGTTTCAAGTATGAAGGCAATTCTGTAGCTGATAATGAACACTGGTAAGCTCTTTTTTTGTTCTTTTGTTTTTTCCAGACCAGGTTTCTCTGTGTAGCCTTAGCTGTCCTGGACTAATTTATACACCAACCTGGCCTTGAACTCAGTGATCTGCTTGCCTCTGCCTTCTTGAGTGCTGGGATCACAGGCATGTGTCACCACGCCCGGCTTAGTAAACTCATTTTTACTGTACAATCACCATACATGGCAACATGTTGGGTTTTTCCCATTTAAACCTACTTTGTGATGAGGTACCATTTCCTCATCCCAAAAATTGCTCTGGTCCTATGGTCTGCTGTATCCTGGCTCTTGACTCTTCACCCAAAACACTGCAGGCTTTCATCAGATAGTTTGTTACTTAACTGAATCAGACTTAAAAATGCTGCCATCAGCTGGGAGTGGTGCTGCAGGACTGTAATCCCAGCACTCAGGGAGGCAGAGGCAGGCATATTTCTGTGAGTTCGAGGCCATCCTGGTCTACAAAGTGAGTCTAGGACAGCCAAGACTACACAGAGAAGACCTGTCTCAAAAAAAGCAAAAAAATAAAAAAATAAAATGCTGCAGTCAATTTCATTATAGTGAAGGTAATAGCAATGAGAGCCATGAAACAATCTCTAGTATCTAAATATATATACAAGTGGAGGTATGTGAACTTCACCTAGGAAGGAAATTTCGAGAACATAAAACAGGGTCACTTGGAAATCCTACAATTGTTTTGAATCTCTTCAAGTCCTTCTCACCTGTTGTTCCTGCCTGCCAGTTAGATTTGCTCTGCTTGTTTAGAAAAGAGATGCTAGCACTAAGGATACACATGTTCTAGGAAGGCTGACAAATGGGAATTGGACAAAGTGGGAACAATGCAGCAGAATCCACCACAGTTTGGCAGGACTTTTATTGCTATTTAATTTTTTTTTTTTTTTTTTTTTTAGACCTAACTGCCCTAGATATGGTGGTTCATGCTGTAGTTCTAGTGATTGAGAAGCATGTAGCTGTGAGTTCAAGCTAAGTTTGGGCCACATAGTTTTGGGTCAGCCTGTGTTGAAGATTCATCTTTTAAACTAAGTAAGTAATTTAAAAGTACATCAGTTTGTGAAGATATGGTGATCTGTGAAGTATTACAGGAGAGGTGGGTATGATCAAAACACTGTGTTTATGTATAAAATTCTCAAAGAACAAATATACTAAAAAAAGAGAAGGGTCTATATTTGGGTTGCTTTTGTATGGTACGTGATTACTATTCTTCATGTTTGATTTTTTTGGGGGTGTGGGGAGGGTAGACATACCTTGGAACCTACCCTGAGCAAGAACATTAATGTACAAATGTCATATGCTTTATTTATTTACTACACTTTCCCACAGCCAAACTACATATGGTGCCTCTCAACCTCATATACAATCAATTTTCTTTTCGTTATGCACTGGTTTCCAAAACCAAACACTTCAAACTCTGTAAACATTTTGATAAAAATCACCATTGTTAAATTTCATACTAGTACCATCCAAGGTTTCTGAAGGAAGCCCCAGGTAGAATTTTATTAACACGTTAGCATTTTGCACCTTTCCCTGCATAAACTTAAAACCTAAGTCCCAACGCTGCAACTTCAAATGGTCAAAATAACCTCTACTTATTCCAGTTTGAGTTTAACTATATTATCCAAAGAGGAGATTCCTGAGTGCGTTTTCACGCTGATCCGAGTTTCAAGATAACACCACTGTCCAACAACTGGGGAAGTAACATGGGTTCCGTACCAGTTTTACACTTGGACTGTATCTGAGGACAGCCACTTCAAATTCTTCAGATTGTCCAACTGTCTGGACTAAGTATGTCAGCGTGTATACCTAAAACACGAACGTCTATTTGCAGCCAATGCAAGTCAACACTGGGCCTGAATTTCATTCACTGGGGGCTTCTGAAGTTGGGGATTTGCGATTCCTTTCACCACACCCACACTAAACCCGCAGTTTTCCAAAGGTCTCTAGTAAGTGAGCGTCGCTTGATCTTCATAACGGCACAACTATTCCCAACTTGATTTGAGCGACAAGAAGCCAATTCCCAACGTGCAGAACGGGGGTGCATTAGACCAAAAAATGCTGGTAAACGGTACAACGGGAATTCTTATTTCAAGTTTTTTCTTTCGTTTAGCGCCAATGTGCAAACACCCCTCGCCCGTAACTTTTTACTAAAGTCTCGAAGCATCCAAAGGAAGAGCCGTAACTTACAGAAACCGCCCATCGCCGGTTTAAACTGAACTTTTCGAGGCTGCTGGAGGCCGTAACTTAGCAACACTAACAAAGTTCACACTTTCCAGTGCTTGCGCTTTTGGGGTGGGGGGGAAACACTTGTCCCCCGTGATTGGAACCCCTCCGAAAGTCCGGAAAATGATGACTGGGGATCCGCTCGGGGTTCCCCTCCTCTCCCTCCCCCGCGCCCCCAAGGCGGCTATCCTCATTTTACCAGTGGCGACAGGGCACGGTCCCCGCTACGGCCACGGAGCGTTAAAAGCCGGCGGCGTGGGGACGAGAACTCGGGCCTCCCAGCTCCAGTCCGGCTCGTCGTCCTGAAGGCGGGAAGCCCGGAGCGGCCGCCTCAGGACCCCGGAGGCTCCGCTCGGGCACGCGGGAGGAAGGCGAGCCCGGGCTTCCCGGGCCGCCCCGCGCCGGACCTCGGCGCTCCACGTCCGTAGAGACGCAACCAAAGGGGCGGAGAGACAAGCTCGGGCTGCGGTCACCGACCGCCGCCGCCGCCGCTCACCTCGGCTCTTGCTTTTCCGGTAGCGGCTTTTCCTCAGCGCAGCGGAAGCACAACTTCCGGTTGCCTTCTCAGGAAGAAGCCTCTGACGCTGGTTTTTGATTGGCTACCGTGGCTGTCCTATAACAAGTCCTACTCCCGCCCTAAAGCTAGTGCGCATGCGCACTCCCGCATCTCCCGCTCCTCCCGGGAAAAGGAGATCTTCTCGTCTGTTTATTTAGGTCAGGTCAGGGGAGTCCTTGTTCGTACTTGCTGTCTGTAAAAGAAAGTACTGTCTATCAATTCCATTCCCCGCCGCTCCCAGTTTTAGATGAGACTCTTAAAATTAAACAAGGAATTCACTTGCCTTATGAAAAAGTCGGAAAATACAGATAAACAGTATATTTAAAAATTATATCAATGCCAACCTCATCATAAAACATGTTTTTAAAACAAGATTGTACTCTGATACATTTCGTTTATATATATTTATTTTCTGTATTTACTTACTTATGTGCAGATATTTGTGAACGTGATTGAGAATAACATCCAAATTCTCCACTTCCCCTCTTCCGTTCACTTCTATTTTCATTTAGGAATTCGAAGATGTCAATCAGAATTCTTTCACAAATTAACAAATGAAAAAAAAAAATGATGTGGTTTTTGAAAACGGAGGGAGGGGCCAATTTCACTTGTAGCCCAGGCTGTCCTTTCCAGCCACAGGAGAGCTGGGACTACAGAAATGTGCCATCATCAGGCCCATCAACAAAACTTTCCATTTAGGCTTCTTTTTTTCCTCCCACGAGAATTGTTAACAAATGTCCTAATTCATGGGAGTCTTAAGAATGCATGTTGCAAATTAAAAGATAAGAATGTTCTGATAAAACAGCTCTGCTTCACACACAAGAATTTCCCAGTTTCTTTCTTTAAATATGTGGAGAATTGCAGGCATAAAAGCAAAAGAACAGTCTACTCACCACCAGCTTCGACAGAAATATGCTCCACATAATTTCATCTCTAGTCCGGTATGCATCTCTAAAAGGTAAGGGCTCTTTGCTTTTTTCATCTACCCATAGAATTATTATCTTACTGAAAGTATATTAGTATGTTAGTATATATTAAAGAAACAAATCTGATAAAATGAATGTGTGTATACACATATACATATATGAGTGTATGACTTATTACAGGATACAGTCCAAATAGTCCAACAATGGCTCAAAGGCTGAAAATCCTTTAGTTGCTCAGTCCAAGGGGCTGGATGTCTCAGCAGACCCCATCTGGCACTGGACGCCTGGAGGATTCCTGGAGAACTGCAGGTCTTCAGTCTATGTTGGAATCCCAAAGAAGTTTTGGTTCTAATACTGGCGAAGGAATGACACAGGAACAGGACAGATGAAGTTGCCAGTGAGAGGGAGGGCAAGCAACCGAAAAGCCATTTCCTTCTTGTCCTTTTATCTGGGAAGCTACAAGAAAATGCCACCCAGTCTTCCTGCTTCTAAAAACCTGATTATGAAAATTCCTCACAAGAGTTCACAGTAGCTAGGGTTTTAGTTGATTCAGTCGCAGTCATGTTAATAACCAAGATTAGCCATCACCCGAAGATGAAGTTCATAGGGCTGGGATGTGGCTCAGTTGGGAGGGAGCTTGCCTCAAATGCCCCTAATCGTGGGTTGTCTCCAGCACTACGTAAGGGGTCATGATAGTAGCTGGTGAAAATATGGGTATAATAAACACTTATTTTTTTTCCTTTAGTTTATTTATTTAATCACTTTACAGCCTGATCACAGCCCCTCCCTCCTCTCCTCTCAACCCTATCTTCATGCCCCACTCCCACCATTCCCCTCTCCCTTTGTCTTCATTGAAGGGGAGAAATAGCCCCCCCCCCCCCCGCCCCGTACCAACCCAGCCTGATGCATCAAGTCTGGTCCAAACACATCCCCTCTCACTGAGGCCAAACAAGGCAACCCAACCAAGGGAAAGGGATCTAAAGACAGAGAACAGGGTCAGAGACAGCCCCTACTCCCATTGTTAGGGGACCCACACGACCATACTGTGGTTGCAGGAAAGCAAACCTAGGTCATCTGCAAGAACAACAGATGACCTAGGTCATCTTAACCACCCTCTTAACCACCAAACCAACTCTCCAGCCCTATCACTTAGTTTCTTTCATGGCATCCCATCCAAGAATGTTTGCTTAACCAAACACTATAAGGAATTGTTCTTTTTTATGATCTTAAGGTTGGTTTTATGATTTATATTGAAGTTTTTAACTCTGGATGGATTTGTTTTCATGTATAGTTTAGGTAAGAATCGGGGTTCCATTTGTTTATTATTTTTGTATATAGAAATCTAATTTTCCCAGCACCTCTTCGATTCTGCTGGAATTGTGGTACTGTTGATAGAAAGACAGGTTCATAAATAATAATCTGTGGGCTGTCAGTTAGTTACACTGTATTTTCAGCCTGTTAATAGGTCTCAGTAGAAGGACTGGAAGCTAGCAAATGAAAATAGTTGTTGCCAGCATCTGCTTATTCGCATCATGTAATATATAGTGTGTATTTTTGTGTGTGTGCATTTGTATATAAACATACATTCATATATAATCTCAAGGATGCACTTCCAGTGAAAATTGTTGGTAATGAATTTTCTCTGATATCTGCAGTATAGTTTTATTCCATACTAACTGTTTTTGTTGCTGTTGCTTTATTGGTGTGAACAAACGTATCACTAGCCTCAACAACCTGCATCTGGTACAGCCCTTTGGTGGGAGGGACGGTTTGCTTTGCTCCTTTCGTTTTCTTACCAGCTGGGGGCAGCAGTGACTAGATCAGCTAATTCAGGCTGTGGGGCTTCTGTACTCATTTCTCCCACTGTCTCCCACTTTCCGTCTGTTACACACAGGCGGCTGTGTGCTTGCTGCTGATGTGCTATTTCTCACCCTCTATTCGGATAACTAGGCTCTGTGGATCTCTCCACTGTCCAATAATAAACTCCAGTGAATCCCCTCAAGCACCCACCTCAAAGAGAAGTTATTTTCTGGCTTCGTGGTTCCAAATGCAGAGAAAATGGAAAGCACTAGAAGTGCTTCTATGCCACCCTCATGGCTCCCTGTATTGTCTTTATATCTTTACTCCCCTGTTTGTTGCTAAGTTGTAGTTGTGTGCCTGTTTTATTTCTACAGCTATAGATAAGCTGCTGGCCCATCTTGGCATTGGGTCAGGCAATCGTGAACGTAGCCACACAGCACACATAGCCTGTGTAGAATATCATTTTGGTGAGAGATGGTTTATGGGTAAAAGTGAAAGGAAAAAGAAAACCCTTCCATGTGTCCTGAAGAGCAGGTGTCTACAAAAATGAGCTACCTGGCCTTGGTACCACTTTATATCAAGGCCAATTTTGGCTCAGATTAAGGGGAGGGAGAATGGGGGTATAGTTTTGGTAGTGTTGATCACCATGCTTGAGATTGTGGGTTTACTCTCTAACACAACCAAAAAAGGGGCAAGGGACAACACTCAGTAATTAGGGCAAACAATGTTTTAATAAAAATTCAAACAATAAAATTTAAGACAAAGAGACTATATGATAGACAAATATGACCACTTTAAATAAGGAAGAGTTCCATATTTAGTTTAATGCCACCACTGAAAGGGAGTCTTCACATATGAAGACTGGAATTACTTTCCATATGGCATTGGCGGCAGGGCTCTTAGACTTTCAGGTTTTTGTAGTGCACTGACCTCTAGTGCTCATTCATCAAGTATTTATTGCTCACCAAGTAAACAGCAGCCACTGTCCTAGATGCTGCAGAAACAGTGTTCCAGCCACTACAAGCCCAATGTTTCTTCTACAGTTCTAGGAATCTTCACCCTGCCCCCTTGACCTGCTCTGCTTCAGGTCTGCGATGCAAGTTTTTCAGAACCCTTCAGTGTCCCAAGGACAAGGACAGATTTTATGATACAGGCCCTTACTGTTTACTCTATTCAGACTCGATGCATAATGACTCACCAGGATTTGGCTATCATCTTTCTATAGCTACTTTAAATCTCCTTTTTTCCCCACCAATTTATTACCAGTTTGGCCTCCAATATCTATAAATGTGGACGGAGAAACTTCCTATTCAGTCAGGGTGGAGCAAAGTACAGGAGTCCTGGCCTGGGGTTCAGGAGACCTGATTTCAGCTAATGGGATAGGTAACTCCAGATGAGCCGCACCTCAGTGAAATGATAAGCGTCAGGTGAAGCCAGCCCGTACTTACTTCCTGGAAGTACTGGCAGTGCTGTCTAGGTGTCAGCTGGGGCTTAGGGTACTCGCCTTGTGCCTACTTTCACTAACAGCCTTGCTTTCTCTTTAAGATTTCATCATTTGAAAGGTCATCAGATCACTAAAAGTCCTTGAAATTTGATGTTGGTTCATTCTATTAGAACCTCCCCCCATGTATGTGTTATTGATAAGAGAGAAAT